CGGGCAGATGCCTGTACCATATGAGAATGGAACTGGCACCATTAAAAGGCGCCCTGTGTCAGAGGTGACTGTTTCAGAGCAGCCCAGGCCACAGGAACATCCGGAGAACTCGCCTCGTCGGGACAGTGCAGACCTGGAAGGCCATGTTACTGAGAGTGCCCCTCGTAAGTCCGTCAAACCTCCGGTGTCCCCCAAACCTGTTCTGGCCCAGCACATGAAGAAACAAGGACCGCCGGCTGCCATCACCAAGAAAGCCCCATTTCCTGGACCAACTGGGGCACCTGGCAGCCCAGGTACTACACAGTGTGGCCCTTTCACTTGCCCTGTCTTTACACAATTATGTGAGTATCCCATAAAACCCTGTAGCATTTAGACCTTGTTGCATCAAATTCTGCTCAGTCTCTTTTCCCATCTCTCTCCCTATCTCTTTTTCTTCTATTTACAGTTGAAGGAAAGAAAGTACCTCCTCCAATTTCACCGAAACCTACACCTCCTCCCACAGCTCCCAAACCATCCAAAAATGTTCTGCAGTCTTTAAATGCGACACCTAATCCCACTCCCACGCCCTCTCCAGCCAAGCAGACTGTCACCAGAATGGCCAGCACAGCTTCTGCCCAGAACAACCACCCTGTCAAAGCTACAATCCCACCAGCCTTGAGTGCGCAGACCCCACACACACCCCAGTCTCCTCACACCCCACAGACACCTCAAACACCCCAAACCCCACAGACACCCCAAACTCCCCAGACATCAGGTCCCCCAACCCCCATCCCTACACCACCACCTGTGAAGCCCCCTCGCTCCTCAATCAGTGGGGTGTCCATGGACAGTTCAGCTGGATCAGCGTTTATCGCAGGAGTAGTGACAGTAGATGCAGTGCACCAGAAGATAGAGGAGACCAGTGCCTCACTGGCTGCAGCCCTGCAGGCAGTCGAAGAGAAGATCAAGGAGGATGGGCAAAAAGAGTGAGTGTCACGAAACATACAAAAAATGTTTTCAGTGACATTCCTGTAGGAATCTTAACATTTCATTTCAAGTAGTTTCTAACTTTTTTTTCTAGTCTCAAGTCCTTCAAATCAAGTCAGCAGTTTTGAGGCCACATCTGTGGTTATTAAGAAGCAAAGACTTTAAAGTAGGAATGTCTCGAGTCGATCTCAAAGATGATTGGGCCGATTAAGCATTTTTTAACTGATCGGTATCGGCTATCCTGAGCCCGATCCTTATTTTATATCAGCTGTCATGCTGGTTTTGTGCAGTAGGTGGCTACGTGCACCTTGTGGTAGGTTTGCCAACCTCCATTAAAATAAAAAAGACGTCAAAATGTGCGTGTGATTTGCGAGAAACAATGAGGTCTGTTCCAATGCATCACACACATTCGATCTTCCATGTTTAGCATTTTTGATGTGCACTTTAGTAACAAAACACTCGAAATTTATCTTATTTATTTACCGTTTACTTTTAACTGCCATCAGACTGTCTTGAGACATCGCTGTCATAACGTGTTGCTTTGGGTTGCGTCTTGCTTCGGACTTGACTGACAGACTGGCATTCTGACACTGCAAGCTTCATGCTTTCTAACCTTATCTCCATTTTCGCATGGTACATACATTTGAGCCCCTGTGACTGAGAAACTCTCTGCACATCCATGTGTACATTGGATTGATTTTAATAACTTTAATTTACTTAAAATGTGCCCTAAGCACTAGGAAAATTCTAGTATCGGATTGGGACTTTGTATCGACAGATACTCAATATTCAATGACTCGGATCGGGGGCACAAAAAACCTGATTGGGACATCCCTACTTGAAACACTTTTTCACCATCAGGTTGAGTACAGTGAGTGATGGTATCAGGATACTATAGTCATTTAAATATTTTAGATTTTCAGAACTGGCTATAACATGTTATCAAACCAAATTTTATAATTAAGGGCAAATTTTTAAAAACTTTTGAACTTTTCTCTTAAATTCACCACTGGGGATGTGTTGACTGAAGAAATCTATTCGTGTCACTTGCAGCCACATTTTTTAAAATTCCTAAATTATATTTAAGTGTGTGTGTGTTTTGATCCACAGCTCATTGGCGGAAAACAAGAGCACAGTGAGCATCCTAGACGACATCGGCAGCATGTTCGATGACTTGGCCGACCAGCTGGATGCCATGCTGGAGTGAAGAGCACAGCCTGTGTCTCTGTGGCACAACCTCAGGGCCCCGGGAGAGCACAAGGGCACAATGACCAACAACAAACCCACCTATCCCTTCCTAATCCTCATCCCTGGCTCCTCTCACCCCTCTTTTCTCCCCTCTCTCCTCTCTCCCTTGAGTTGGTTTGCACAAACCCGAGCTGATGTGCCTCAGGACTGGGCAGAAGGCCATCCAGGGCTTTAAACATCAAAGACAGAGCAGAGGGTGGAGAGCAGAGGTTGGGTTTTAATACATAAAGCTCAACTCTCTGTCAATTAAATATCTCTATCTACCATGAGCAATGAGTAGTAAAATAATACGAAAACAATAATAACTGTATATGAAATAATAGTATGGTATGTGTATATTGTAAGCATGAGGAAAGTTTGTATCTTTAAAGAAAAAAATCTCATAGTGAGAGTCATGCATTAGTACAGTTATATATACACATATATATATATAAATATAAGTATTTTATGTTTTTATTTAATGTTCAATGGTACATACAGTGTTGAAACATTAAGAAATCTATAAACTTTGATGACAGATATGTGGATTTTTCTAAGACTATATTGAAGTAAAAAAAACAAAAAAAAAAGATTAATAAACATCCTGTATGTTTGGCTGTGCTCTGCTGAAGAGTGTTGTGGGCTGTGTTGAATGTAGTGAAGTGACTGAAGTGGCTGTTTCACCCCCTGCTCTGTGCGTGCTCTGGGCTCCCGCTCTGTGCTGCTGTGACCCTTTATGTTTCCATTCACGTTATGCCTGTGTGAACTCATACATTCCTGC